AATGAGTGACCTTACCTATTGAAGCTCTGGAAATTAAAAATTAAAACTTGTGCCTATTGATTGAAGACTCGTTCCACAGAAATATCAACATGTTTTTCAAAAACTTCTCATTGCCAAATTTGTTTTATACTCCATGTAAAATAAGTCTAAATAAGGTGACAATAATAACCAGCAGAATGTCAGAGCACCTTCTGAAAACTCAGTTTATACGGCTCTAAAAGCCTTCCTATCAAACAAATCAAAGTACTACTTTGTATTTGATCCAGAAGGACCTTGCGCTCAGTCTCCCCTCGGTCCTGTGCGGTCAAGGAGGCAGAGAAGTGGCTCGGAGGGACAGGCTGCATTAAAAGGAAACGCAGAAAGGATGGAGCCCCATTCTCTCGCTCCATCACACGTCTCATCTCTTTAGCTGTCTTTCTGTCCGGGGCCTAAAGTGACTTTGCTGTGATGTGACCAGGACAAACAACGCTTGATGCCATAACGGCTCTGTTAAGTGTGCCAATGTGGGTGTTTTTAGTTATAGCTTGTGTTTACACGTTTAGAAGTAGGCGCTTTGTGTCTGTTTGAGGGGAGCAGATTCTTGACTGTGTATTTTTGTGAAAAGGAGGGGTTAGGGAGGACAGTCTCTTTTGATTTGGTCTTAAAAGGGGTGACAGGGTTTTGGAAATCTGGAGGCACTATTTACTGAAACAATAGTTTTTGACCAGAAATAAGTACCACAGACTGTGATCTCATCTCCAGATGACTTCTACCTTCATTTTTTTGTTAGTACTGAGATTTCATAGAGGGACAAAAAAGCTTTTTTGTGCTGTGTGACATGCTGAAAGCATGCTTTAGTTTTTGTAACCTTGGTGAGACTGCTAATGCTTTAGACACAAATATCTCTCCCTCTCTTTCTCCCTCTCCATAGTTGATTGTTTGACAAGTTCATTTTACCTTACTTTTCCATCTTGTGTCAAGTGTCTGTTTCCACAAAAAAAAGTGTGCTTTGAATCAAGGCTTTACTGCTTAAAAGAACAGACTTTGTTCCTGCATCTCATGGGTTAAAATTAAAACGGAAAAGAAGAAAAGACTGGATGGGTGTTTATGTATCATATAATAGGGGTAACTTGGGATTGGTCCCTCTGCAAAAGGGGCTTCTGACTGGAGGGAATTGGATATGCCGAAATTAAACGAGCCAATTAGGGAAGCTAAGAGTTTAGAGGTCAAAGCGTGCCCCATTAAAGCTCCTCTTCTCAACCTAACTTTCTAATTCAGAATGTCTCTTAGTCTGCTGAAGCAAGAAATCTGATTAGATCTCCTTGGCTTTCTATCTCTGGTCCTGTTTTTGTATTACCCTTTACTGATTGCTGCTTTTGTTTAATTTGATTATTACAGACATAAACTGACACTGTAACCTCAAATGCTCAGACTTATTCAGTATGTGGTTTTACAATGCTGATACATATTTCCATCTCTAACAGCTCATATCATCCAAAGATTTAATATTTTCAAACATCGATGGTAGCCTTGATCAATTAGATGTAACATTACATATGTTATGGTGGAAGACATTCTAATAGTTCATTCTGGATTGCTCATGTATTTTGAAACAGCATAAAAACACAAAACTGGTCCGGAACAGTGTGATAGGAGTATAAGAGTTTTATAAAAGCATAATAAACTGAGAATAAAGTGCCCTTACTCCTGCCCAAACAAGCCTCTGTCTCCCTACGAACCTTCAGGGAAAAGCCTTATTTTATTTTATATAATATGTAAAAAAAAAAAACAACCTTGGCTGTAAACTGTGCATTTACAGCAATGAGAGATTTATTTCTGAATCCATTGTTTAAGAAACCAGGCAGAGCTTTTTTTTTTCCTGGAAAGAAAAAAAAAACCCTGAACAATATTGATCAATAAATACGTTTAGTAAAGGGATGCTCTTAAGAAAAATTATTTAAAAATATAGCACCTAACTGTAGTTGTAGATTCAATGAATAAAATATAGCCAATTGTTTTATTTTTGAATCATGATTTAGAAAAGATGTCTTGCAACATTTTCCAATATTTTTTACATAAAGTTTGAGTGGAACCTGTGGCAACACCTAAAACCAAGTTTGTAAAATGAAACAAATTACAATCACACCCTGCATTGTTGTGGGCTGCAGATGGTAGTTATCATCCTCTATTTATATGGTCTTAAACAAACAAAAACAGGAAATGGTTGTAATTTAAATCATGAGTTTAAAAAAGTATATGATCACTTCAGTTAACTTTTTTCATGAAAACTGCCTTTTTAGGCTCAACCGAATTATTATGTTCAAAACTAAAACATTTTGCTGAAGTATCTGTTCTTTTGGCTTAAATAATGACAATAAAGTTAGTTAAAAGGCACATTGACTTTCCAAAGTCTGTATTTAAATCTTTGAATGCCTTTTTTTCCTAAAAACCTTGAAGATTGATGTTACCATTGTTTATTAAAAAAGGGACTTTTTTACATTGGGAAAGGTTGAAATGCTGATGACCTTAGACAAATTCTTTAATACATATCTTTTTTTTTTTTACTTTCTATGCTTTCAGATTGAATTCATTAGATGTAAATGTCACCATGTCAGTGAGTAAATACAAAGATTCTAATCTGGTTGAAAGGATGCTTCAATATTTAGCTTTTATTAGAATCTGGTTTATTAATTTAACAAAGTTACTCACAGAAAAAGACATCTAGATGAATCTAAATCTGAAATGATAATTACTCAATAATTACTCCTAATGCATAACATCAACTGAGCATTCTGTGATGCAGACCAATGCTTCGTTACACCATCCACACAGACCAGAAAAAAAACTGGGGAAAAGAGAAAAGGAGGACTATGTCTGTGTAAATCAGTGACTTCTTTTGAATAAGTGATTTCTTTTGTGTTTAATGTAGCTCACATATACTGCAGGCTTTGCAGTTGAATGCACGAGTGGCCCTGAGAAAGGTTGAGCACAACTGCAGTCTCTTTAAAGCCTCTCGGTTTGTCTCTAAAGGTGAGAGGTGAAGCCTCTCAATACCTCTGTCAGTGCTATACAGAGAGGAAAGAATATCTCAAGGTTAGCCCACTTTTTCTTTCAACAAAATATGTGAGCCCTAGGATAAAAAAACATTTGCGTCAAAACCTGCCTTTTGAGTCTCTCAGGGACGCTGTTTTTCAGCACTTACATCCAACTTTCTTTTTCTTTCAGTCTTTTTTCCCCCCATAACTTCAAAAAATCACCAATCAAACTAAAGGCTTTCATGCACTGATAGAGAAGGCTTCAGCTGCTGTCACAATCGCTCGGTGGGCATGTCCACTGCTGTTCATAGGAGGTGTGTTTGTCCGAGTAGACGTGGGAGACACTGTGGATTTATCTGATCTTACAAGCCATCAGGTTGAGCAGAGCTTTGCTAAACATGACCTGAAGTGTGCCAGCCCCCGAGCAAACGCTGCTGTCACCTTGACCAACCCGAGCTGTCATCTCTCTGAGTGGCCCATGAGAGCTGACAGCTGTGGCGTTCCCAAAACAAATCACTGCTGCGTTTGGTAACACTCCGCGTCCACGCGATTTAGCCCTTTCCGAGACGAAAGCAGGAGCGGCGGCTGCTAATGCTCCAGCTAATGCACTGCCTCACCCGGTGTGTTTGTGTGTGTGTGTGCTGGTTTGCCATAGCTTAGATTTATGTACTTTATGCCACCTTCTGCTTGAGTTGACCTGCCGATGTTCACATCTTTCTTTGCAGCCTTCTTTCAGTGGCTTTTCCTTGAACCATCTCTTCATCCTCATTTTTCTGACTGTTCAAACCTTGGGCAAATTTAGAGCCCAAATTATTAGTGGTCCGTTTTCTGGTTTTTCAGAAAATAAACCTTTGGGCTCCCACTTCTAACTGAAGTGTTGGGGAACAGAAACATTAATGTCAATGGTTAAGAGTGTTTTTCATTCTTAGTCATTGAATTGATCAGACTCATTGCAACTTAGTCTGTACACAACAGAGTCTTATTTTTTTTCCTCAAACATGCTTTCTGAATGTGATTAACTTTTTAACTGGCATTTATTAGTACATTACACTGTGATTCAGTATCTCGAATGCTCCCCCACTAATCTCACACACACACCTACCTGTCAGAAGCACTTCATAAACAGAGATATTTGATTATTTGATTTCAGGCTTTTTTTAGACATCAAACTAAAGTGGTGGAGATGTGGTTTCCATTGATGTCTTTGTTTTCATGTCACAGCCATTGCTCGCATATTCTCATCTTTAGAGACCGTCTTAGTTAAATTCCCTTTCTCTTCATATACATATAAGACATATTTAAGACATATACTTAAAGAAAAGAATGTTAAAGATATTTTATAACTAAAATGACATCAGGTATGGGAAGTTAGGGCAGTAGGTCTTTCAAATGGGCCATTATTTTATTCCCCTATAATTCAGCATGTCCTACCAAATAGTGCACATAAACACCCCATTTGCAATGGCAATGTTGCATTAGTATTGCTATGATGGATATTCAATATATTGTGCAAGTGTAATATGTAGCTTTGATTATACACTGATACAGATATTTTCTGAACCAGAATGGTTTTACATCCACAGTTGATGTTGTATTTTTTTTGTCCTGCATTATGACTAAATATGAATAACGCATCAAAGAATGAGCCTTCGATGCCAGAATTCACCTTTTTTTCCCATCAGCTGCATAGCTGCTAAATCTGATAACAGACTTGGGTCTGGTTGGCATCTCATGAGCAAGGGTAGTATTACCCTGTATATGTTAAAGAAATCTATTAAAATATTACCTACTGATATTTTATTGACTTTGGCTAAAGTCTTTTTTTCTACATAGATGCACTAAAAGGATTAAAGTCTTATATCCCATTGTTTAATGCCAATGCGATAATCCTGCAGTCCATCAATATATCTTGCAGAAAATAAAATATTCTCAGCCACACTACATCCCCAGCTTATTGCTTGCATGTTGTCTTTGATTTTTCTGCAGATGTTTTAAGGAGAGGCTTTTGTTCAGCTACACAGATGAACAACAGGAAGGAGGACATGGAGATCTCATCTCACTACCGTCAGCTCCTAAGAGAGCTCAATGAGCAGAGGCAGCACGGCATCCTCTGTGACGCCTGTGTCATTGTGGACGGAAAGATCTTCAAGGCCCATAAGAACGTCCTTCTGGGCTCCTCACGCTACTTCAAGACTCTTTACTGCCAGGTGAAGAAGTGCGCATGCTGAGAGAATTCTGAGGACTATACATTCATTTTGCACCCCTTATTCATTATAGTCAAAAATTAAGAGAGTCTTTTTGTCATCCTGCAGGTTAAGAAAGGAGCCGAGCCTCCCCATCAGACTACTGTTACTCACCTCGACATCGTAACGGCAACCGGCTTCAAAGCCATCTTGGATTTTATGTACTCAGCTCACCTTGCCCTTACCAGTAAGAACGTGATCGAGGTTATGTCGGCCGCCAGCTACCTTCAGATGACGGACATTGTCCAAGCCTGCCACAGCTTCATCAAGGCTGCTCTTGACATCAGTATCCGCTCAGAAATGGCCGATGAGCTGGCTGACTTTGAAATGGGAGCTGTTGCTGCAGGTTTAGGAGGAGGTGGAGGAGTAGCCGGGGTTGGAGGAGGGGTAGGTTTAGCTGGAGCAGGGGGTGTTCCAGGTGCTAGTTTGGGAGGAGGTGGGATAGTGGGTATAGCCTCTGAAGCGTTGGCCTCTATAATTTCTGGTCGCAGCACCTCTCCCTGGCTGGCACGCAGAACTAGTCCAGCCAACTCCTCTGGGGATTCAGCCATTGCCAGTTGCCATGAGGGAGGCAGCATGTATGGGAAGGAAGACCAAGAACCTCCTAAGAGCCATGAGAGCCAAGAGGAAGCCTGCCATGACTCTCAGCCTGCCTGGCCTCATGACTATAGGCCGGTCAGTGTCAAAGAGGAACAAGTTTCTCCTGCCTCTTCTTCTCATCCAAGGGACACTCCCAAAGGGTCAACACATGTAGAACAAGGGACAGGGGGATCTAGTGGTGGAGGTGTTGAAGGACCCTGGCAACCTCTATCAGGGTCAGGCCGGAGGAAGAACAGGAAGAACAAGGATACAGTCAGGCATATTACCCAACAGGCTGAGAAAACCTGGGATCGGCAGCGAGATAGGGAGAGAGACAGAGACAGTAGGCCTGGATCACCACTCCCCTCCATGCTGGCTGTCACTGGATGGACCTACAATGGACAAGACATTCCAGGTAAGACTGACGCCTCTAACACAGTTTATGCCAGCTGTAGTGTTAAAAATTGGAATTGAGAAACATTCCTCTGCAAAATCTCAGTTATCCGGTTCATGGCAACCATAAAACAGGCTGAAGAAGCGACTGGCCTTTCAAACAGATTTTCTGAAAACGTTTAAACACCTATCCAAGTGTCTGTCAATTCTGTCAGCTCGCCCTGAAGCAAACACTCCAATTACAGATTGCTCTAGTGTGAGCCGAGAAAACTGATAAAGACTCCTGAATATATGTTGAAACATCTTCAGAAAAACTGAGCAAAGTCTGGAAGATCAGCCCAAATGTTCCCAATATTTCCAATTTAGCAAATCAAAGGTTTGTCAATGAGGTTTTCCCTCATAATCCAACATATGATTAACGCTCTAACAAAGTCTTTGCATCACATTCCTTAGTTTTTTTTTAGATTTCTTGATCTAACTTTTTTAAAAGCTATTACATGTCGATATTCCTTTTAGCCAATTCCAAGTTTGTTTGTTTTAGGTTTTTTTTTTAGCAAAAGAATAAAACGTGTTCCCACTTTCTGTTACCCCTTTGTGACTATGAATAGGTTGCTCTGAAATAGACTTTTGCTAATATAAAACTAAGACAAAATAGTTGACATGCTTTAAAATTAGACATTTGATTTTTCCTATTTCATTTTCATTGAGCAATAATACAAGCAAGATGTACATTTAGATATTAAGCCATTTTAGTAGCGCTCCAAAGGAGGAGGTATATGGAAGTAAATCTGTGTCGCTGGGATTTGAATTAAAAATGCCACTGAAATTTAAATGTTGTATGTTTGTACTTACTGTTTCAGTGTTAAAATATATATTCAGAACACATTTTTGACCTAAAAAGAAGTACATTGTCATTATTTCTATACAGTTGAAATTTAATTTGTTATTTTCTCTAAATGCTAAAACTTCACATTACTATTTCAAAGTGATTACATTTTCAGTACTTATTTTTCAGTTTAATTTTTGAGTGTTAAAAAAATCTGCATATAATATAACTCAATATTTTCAGCCTGAAAAGCGACACAGATTTACTTCCATATAGGTAGAAGTTCAAGAACTTATAAGAACCTACCCACAATAAGAATATATTCATGTCAGGTAACATATAAGGTCTTATGCTAAAAGGAGGCATTACGAATTAAGGCACAATTACACAAATACAGTGTCTTATTTTGAAAGCAGTTGTACAGAAAAAAGAAGATATCTAGTAGTACATATCGCAAATGTTGCAAATTATCACATTTAAATGTTGTGGTTACATGCAAATTTACATGCGAATGTACATATGTGTAGAATTACAACATCAAATCAAATGTGTTCTAACACAGAAAGACTGAGAATTAGAAGAAAAATATAGAGTAACTCTGATATGTTTATACCTCCTTTTAGCTGCCGAAGAGTTCACTCCTTTGCTGATTTAACAAAATGAAAATGTCTGACTTAGCTTTTTAAAACAGGTTTCTAACATTATGAATTGTTACTTCTGAGTCTTTTTGATGTAGCAACTTCCACACTGAAGAGTGTTATTAATGCCATCCAGATGCATTCTCAATGCTTTAGTGATCAGAAAATTATCATACTATAGTTTTGCCTCTCTGGCTTGCTGCGTAGTGCACATGTACATATTTCTTAAGAAATTCTCTAGTTGAAGATTTTTGTATAGTGTATGTTTTGATAGCTTATATTGGTAACAGCCAACATCATTAGGCACAGCATTTAGTAAATTCTTCTACTCCAACCTGCAATTGAACATTGTTACGTTGGTGTGATATAATTATTACATCCGACTTCCGAGGTTAACCGAGTGCAGCAACTTTCTATTTTAGGAAAGTGATTTAAGCAATAGGGAAAACAAACCAGGTTTGGCCAATCATGTGCTTAGATTAAATGTCTTAACATTAAGTGTAAAGGACTTAAAAGGATAAATGAAGGTCAAAGAAAAGCTTTTTAATTTCCTGATGCAGGGCTGATTTGAGGAGGCAGTGCTACAGTTTAAGTCCTAGCCTGTAAGTTTTGTTTTAATGGATGTAATTACTGAATGACTGGTAGGATAACAAGATTAGGTTCCATAATTGGGTAAAACTGTCGTCTAAACACCTAATGTTGATAAAATCTATTTTAACTTTAAGACTGTTTAACCAATTGCTCAGTGGCTAAAACTAATCAAAGTGTTGCGGGGACTTTTGTGGAGCTCATGTGCATGATACTTTCTAGACTGCCACCTGAAATAGTCCAACAGAAACTCAGAACAACTCTGTGGAAATTGACCTAATTTTTTCCCTCCTCCGGCATTGTGATTAGTGAGCTTATACACTAACGTGTCAGGCCTAAGATGATTATCTAAAATCTTGAAGGTGTGAGGTGAAGCCTTGGTAAATGCAGACGGATATTACAATCCTCTCTTCACTGTAGTTTATGTAAGCCACACTCCCAGTTACACAGACAAGCAAATGCGTACACAAACACAATGGTAAATGCATATTTATTTTGAGATTTCTCCCTTTATCCTAGGGCTTGCAGAACTGTTAAGCAAGTTGTTCCTCTCCAAAACTTATACATGATAAGTTACCTATGTGTGTTTGTGCGTCTTTGTGCATGTTGTGGGCCCAAGGCGTCAATAGGTAGATTATTAAAAGTAAGAAAAGCTAATCCTGGGCGCATTAAGGGAGTTGGCTGTGAAATGGGCACACACGTCGTGCAGTAAAAGAAAACAGGATAATTGAATTGACCTGGGGTCACTGCACGGATTACCAGCACGTCCTCGCCATCCCGGGCTCCTCCCCCTCTCTCTGGGGTTTAGGGAAGGACCTTCTGGAAAGGGCGAGATGGAAGAGGAAGAGAGAGCATTAGATTGGAGGGGTAATTAGAGAGAACAAAAATGCAGAGGAGCAAAAAGGAAATGGGAATTGAACCGTACCTGCTTCTGGGCTTATGAAGTGTTTGTCTCCTTAACTTTACGTGTCTTCAGTCCCTGATTTTGTGACCCGAAGTTGAACCTTATTACTTTGCCCAAGTACAAAATGTCTTGTGGCTCAAAATCACACACACACTCATACATAATAACATACAGCAACAAAGTTAAATGGTACTATTAAGACTGTTGGCCTGTGTCATGGTTCTGGTAGAAGGTAGAGTTTAAGTCTGACTGTGGTGAAGCAATGTTTAATCAGAGCTGTTTGCTCACATAAAGGTTATAGAGGAAGTGTAGAGATGCTGCTGGTCAAAACTCAACTGGTGTTTGCCAAAAGGCAACCAGTCACTCTTGAGCTCTGCTGGCCAACATCAACATGTAAAGAATTAACCTGTCCACTCTTCCTCAGTGGGATGGCTTTGAAATTTAAGAGCAAGTTACTTTGCTACCACTCAAAGTTTTGTAGTTGAGCTTTGAGGCTTTTGTTGGCGTCTGGGAATGTTGGCAAGAAATCTGGTTTTAATTTTAGTTTTAAAGCATAAAGCTCATTAGATCTCTATAACTCCAAATAACAAAGGGTCAAAGGTGCATGCTGCGGCTCTTGTAGACTTATGAGAGTTAGAGTCCTTAAGTCTTAAGTCTTCTTAAGCCCAGGATTTTGTCACCTTTAGTCAGTGATCTAAATTAGGCGTACATGCACCTTAAAGGGCCAAAGAATTAGAAAGTGATAATTTTTATGACTGATATATTTCTACTACATTGTTATGAAACATTAATAATTATTCTAAAATAATATTATTGATCATGCATTTTGCACTGAGCATCCCCAACTAAGTAACTAATCTGATATTTAGCTTTTTAAATAATAGGGCTGAAAAGATTAATCGGATTATTGAAATAATCATCAACTAATTTAGTAATCGATTAATTGTTAACTGGAGTATAGAGACTGTAAAACATGTCTTTAGTTGACATAGCAACTCACTTAGATCAGAAATTATACGAATATTGTAGAAAAAAAATGGAAACGTTTTGCATTTAAGATAAAAAGAAAAAGTTTATCTGTCAATATGCTAAAATCTTCAAGGAACCTTTAGCTGTCGGATTATTAATCGAAAAAATATTGGACAGATTAATCGATTTGCAAAATAATTGTTAGTCGCAGCCCTATGCAATAGTCAGGCTGCAAACCTCCATTTAGCTGCTAAGCAGATATGCTGCTGTATGCCTGCCAGCTTCTGTTTTACAATGTAATTTCTTTAATAAGAGTGATAAATGTGCCTCTTCTGATTCCTTACAATCTGTAATCAGCCTCCATGCTTACAATAACTGTAAGTGTTTTGCCTTATCTGAAGTATTTTAAAATTGAAGATTTTATCTTGTGATTACTGAAAGGTTTAGGAGCCTTCTTTCAGAGAACTTGCTGGCAGTGTAACAATAGTTGAGGGACATGTGGGGCTGAATTACTTTGCAAAGAGCCTGAGAAATCTCGGGTCACTCCAGGCACAATGACAGAATATGTATCACTTTGGGATTTTCTTAAACTTCGGAACACTTTGATAATGGAAAACGACTGATTTAAGTGAAAAAGTATCCCAAAGCAACCTGGCCCATTTGTAAAAAAGCAATAGATAGCTCTCACAGAACATCATCCTCCCTCTGGTTCCATACAAAAAACTGGGACATAGAATCCACATCACTGGTTGAACATAATAGAACCACAGTAGTTTTATGTTGGGTTCAAGGGGATAAAAACAAATGTGTTAAAACAATAAAGAGAAGCTTTCATTACATCCTGTTAATTCAAACATATGAATCTCAGGGAACTTTGCTACAAGGCTTTGAGCGTTGATGGGTTTTGCAGGTTGATATTCAGAGGAAACACGAGGCAATCTTAATGTGGCACAGATTTGCTCTGATCACTTTATTAGCGGTGAGACATGTTTGAAAAAAAGATGATATAGCTTTGAAAATTTGAAATTACATCAAACTATGGAAAATTAAAAGGAAGCTCCTGGTTATTACAACTAACTTTTGATTTATATTAATTT